TTAAAATAATATCACTTTCAGTATGTATGTTTCTTTGATCAAAATCAAGAAAATTAACATTCCCCTTTAGAATCCTTGTGTGATGTGATGACCTGGTGATTTTTGATTCTTACAGCTCGAGGTCAGGGTCATGAAGGGAGGAAGCGTCTCTGAGGAAGCTTGGCTGGACTCGGACGGTGACAGGACAGGGTTTAGTGGCCGTCCCGTATGTGCTGCTTCTGATTTCAGTATAAATAGTTACTATGGAAACAACGAAAAATGATTTTACTGAATTGGTTGGTAGAAAATCTAAATAAAATGTCAAGCATGTGTTTTATACCTTTATAGTCATCACTAGCGTCACCTGCAGGAAGGCTGAAGTAGTATTGGAAATCTCTCCCCTGGTACAGCATCCTGCGAGGCCCCCCCCCTACACTGAAGCTGTACTCATACAGTAGATCCTACACACACACATGCACAGTTAATACGCAGGGAACAATTTAAAAACTGGGTAGAAAAATAATATTTAAACATTTTTAACTTGTTATGATTATTAATATGATTCGAACTATGAGGTAGTAAAGAAAATAAAGCCCATAAAAAGTGGTACTGAATCAAAAATTGAGATGTAGCCCCAAATTATCATTTGAAGCCGAATTTCGAAGAAAAGGTTTTCCCTTTTTTTTCAGTTAAAACAAAAAATATCATGAGATACAGTTGGAAACTTTGAAGTTTGAATTAATGTAGAATTTTAGTTTTTTCACAAAAACTAAAACACTCAACTCGATGCTGTTAAAGGAGAAGTGTGATGAATTGGAGAATTGCTTATTTAGTGTTCATCTTTGTGTATGTGTGTGTGTGTGTGTGTGTGTGTGTGTGTGTGTGAGAGAGAGAGAGACAGCAGACACCTCTTTCCCTGACGTGCAGAAGATGCTGAAATGTGTGTGTAGCTCCGTCCCTTTAACTGGCTGCACCTGGCACTTCACGCCCTCAGGAGCAGGCTTGGTTTTCAAGAACAGCTGAGTCCGGCCGACAAAACTGCTCCGACACTCTGAGTAACACAGGCAGATGAGATTTTTGGTGTTATCAGTTTTACCTCTCGCCTTGTTCATTCCTATCATCGCTATTCGTCCTGGGCTTTAAGAGCAGATGTGAATGCACCAAGACGCATTTAGATCTGATCACTCAAACCACATGTGGAGGTGGTCTGGACTGCATATGGTCACATTCTTTTACAAAGTAAACTGAAGTACCACCTCCTCGAATAAGATCCTCTCTCTAAGAGAAGTATGCACTCATACCTCCACTAAGGAGGTTTATGTTTTCCCTTGCATTTGTTGCAAGTGGCGTATGACCCAAGGAAGAACTCTTTAAATTTTGATTTGGATCCGGATCACTTTCTTCATTTTTGCATCATTTGTGTTGGAATAATTCAAATTGAAATATGGATTTAGTGGATTTAAATGTGGAAAGGGGACTGTTGGGCCTTTCTAGTTCATAGTAGTTCAGTTTTTTCTAAAATTGCATAAACACGTCGGCTGGTTTGGGTCTCTAATTATGACAGATTATAGATTTATATTGTACTGCACAGAATCTGAATGTCCACTTCATGTTTATTGGTCATTCTATCTATTCGGTCTGTCATGGTTCTTTGTTGAAAGCACTTTGCTAGAACTTACTGGCTGTGACCTCCAACATGTATCTGCTCCCCGGCTGCAGACTGAAGGGTCTCAACCTGAGCGTAGAGGAGGAAATCCCTACAAAGAAAGATTATTTAAGATAAAGAGTGATGCAGAGAATAACTGTTTGTGGGCAAGTTTCTTAAATAATGTACCTGTGTAAGTGTAGGACTCAAAAACGTCTCCGTCCACTGGGTCTCGAGGCAAATCAAGTAAAGTTGGCTCCTGGATCAGGACAGAGTGTCCGGAAACCACCAGATTACTCCCCTCTGATTCATGTTCAGCTGGATCGAAAACTGCATCTTCTCCTGCACTGAGAGTTTCACCATCCACACCTTGGAATACACACGAGTAAATACACAACATCTCACACTGGTTATGACTACAGAGGTAAACACAGATGTGTACTGCACCTGTGGGTCTTCCTGCGGAGCTCCCAGGGTCTCCTTCCTCTGCATTTGGGGGGTGAACATCGTAATCTGACTCTGTAACAGACTCAGCTTTAATGCATACCCACAGCCCATGCATATGAAAATATAAGAAGTTACTTATTAAAAGATTACGATATTAGAATTTAATTTTTTTAATTGAAATTAATTGAAAAAATAATTGTTTATTTATTTTTCTCTTTTAATGTAGTAATGTTTGTGTTTGTCTTGATTCATCAAATGCTTTTGTTTTGTAAATGCATCTGAGAAGAATAAATCAAATTTAATTTAAAAAAACAAAAAATAATTCTGCAAATTCCATAAAATGATTTTGTTTAATCTGATTTAACCAATAATTTACTCCAAAAAAGTCATCATAGTCCTTGCTTTGTTTGCCTCATCTGAATCTTGTGTTTCACTCTCACTGAATTGTTTTTCTCACCTTGTTCTCCCATGTCACCTCCCTCCAGGACAGGAAAAGAAAACTCCCACTCAGCAGAGAGGTCAGAGGGAACTGGGAATTCACTGATGCCCAACTGCTCTGAATCTAGGTCTCCACTGCTGTCAAGGGTGAGTGACAGGTAGTCAGTGGAGGGCTGATGCTCTGCAGGGTAAAACTCTCCTGGGGAATGATATAAGGGCTCCTCTCCTGGAGATAAAGTGGGGGAGATGTTAAATTATTCATAAACGATCAATTCTTACAGTAACTATAACCTTGCATTCCATTATTCATATTCATATTGATGTCCAGGGCTCAGAACGTTCTTAACTCACACATACACACATCTTGGAGTATTTCATAGTAAGTTTAATTTGTAAGCAGCAGGATGAAATAAATTATATTCCTAACAACCTGATCCTGCTGTTCCTGTGCCGACAGGAGTGACGGTCTCAGACTCTGAAGAAAAGGAGAAGTCAAGTTTAGTGACGTATTGATATGTCCGACCTGAAGACTCAAACCAGACTCTGGGGTTGCAGTTTTATGTGTTACGAACGTCAGTGCATTTTATTAACACACCTGCTTTGTATGTCCCATCATCAGTCAGGCCAAGATTTTGCTTTTTTGCTCCAGTTTTTCTAGTCCTGAGATCAGTTTGTGCATAGTGTGATGTATCTGTGTCAGACAGACGCAGGGTGGACGTCTGATCCTCGATGATTGTGGAGGGAGCGCCAAGATCCACCGTGGAACAAAATGGCACTGGAATCAAACAGTTTAGAATAGAAATAAGTATATTTTTAGTTAATAAAACAGTGTAAATGTACTTATTTAATTTTTAACGATGTTGGATAAAGATGCTCTTATTCGACCTTCTATGACAGGTCTGGTGGAGGCGTTGACCAGGAACAGACTCCAGGTGTATTGGATGTGAGCGAGGGAAACATCACAGTCTTCACACCAGGTGTCGACAACGAAGGACTGATCCCAGTTCACCTGGTCTCCTTGGCAACGAGGGCAGGAAACGGACAACTTCCTGGTTTGGAAACATTGTCACTCAGTAGCAAGCAGCTCAGTTTGGATGTCTTCTCGCACATGCAATCCAGTCACACCCTGACACATTCGCCTTGAGCCAATCACCTTAGTTCAGTAAGATCACTGCATTCTAGATACCCGGTCATCTCCCTTCATCATCACCATCTGGGTCTTTAGACTCCTGGTGGAAATCTCCTTCATATTTAAAGCAGCTAATTCATAGGGACTGCTTCCATGGTGTTCTACTTCCTACTGCGGTCCAAGTGCCAAAGTCTATTCCTCTTGTTACCTCCCCCTAATTGATTTAGTAGTTAGCAGGATTACACCAAAACCACTGGATGAATCAGCACAAAACTTTGTGGAAGGATGCATTATGGATCAGGAGCCCAATACATTTGGTGGAGAGCCATGAGCTTTTTTAAATTGTGAGATAGGGTGATCTTTCAACAGTTTTTCTGAAATATTTTTTTGTGTATATTTAGTGCAGATCCAAAAAAAACAATCTCTTGAATTTTAATGTGGCATCATAAGGTACTGTTGGGCCTTGGCGGTGGTGTGGGCTCTAGATTTGACTTTGAATGGCACAGGTTTGCCAGTTCAATCAGTCACATCGAGTATTTATAACTCACCCAATCAGATTTGGTTTGACTGTGAGGAAGGTCTCTGTCGAAGCTGAGCGTTCCCCGCTGCGTATGGTGAGCGTAAACTGGAACTGGTCAAAGTCCCGTTTTAAGGAACCAACAGGAACAGTGAGCACAGGAGAGGAGGTGGAGATGTGTTGGTGGAAACAGGAGGTGCTGATGGAGCTGAGTGGTTTACAGGTCCAGCTGTAGCTACAAGAGAAAACGCTTTAAAACTTCCAAACGAGCACAAATCAAATATTTTTCTCTTTCTGTCGTAGCTTCTACCTGAGCAGGTTCATGGGGAAGTCAGGGTCGTAAGATCTCCGCCCGTCCAGGGTTAGTGCGGTGGTGTTCCCGCTGTTAATGAAGACGTTGGTGCCACCCTGGATAAAAACCACAGGAGGGCTCGGCATCACCTGAACTCTCACACTGTAGTTACTATACACCACACTACCGACGACCTGGACCTACAGAGAAATCATAGATATGGAGACAATTCAAGTAAAAGTACAATTAATACATATCCAAATATAATTTCTTTTCAAAATCAGGATTTAATTTTGATTACAGACCATCAGTTACACAAAAAACACAATATCTTCACAACAATAATAAAATAACACTAAAGTTTGGATTCTTTTTTTCTTATTTTTGCTATGACCCACCACAGACACAGTGATGCATTCTTCTGCCTCCTCCATGCATGACTCGTCTCAGCTACTCACCCTGGCTGTGGCGGTGTAGGTGTCGTACTGCAGGAAGTGGCTCTGCAGTGTGAGGCTCTGTCTGTGTGTGTCTGTGCGAGGCAGACGGAGGCTCCGGCCTGCAGAGTCCAACAGAGTCCAGGTGTACTGAAGGCCTCGTGATGTGTCGCAGTCAATTTCAGTCTCGTAGGTCACCCCCAGACAGATTACCTCATACCTCCGCACCTAGAGGTGGAGGAGGATTTTATTTTTAAATACATTCTCTTTGCATGTGAAGGAGGCTACAGCCCTGCTGGGGACGCACCTGTAGTTTGGGAGGACCCATGTTTTTGACCGGTGGAGGCTGACAAGGTCGGTCCACAACAAAGATGTGACTGCTCAGAGAGGCGGAGCTGACCAGGTTAGAGGCAGTCACCTCGACTCTGAACTCCCCTGTTCTGCAGAGAGAAGCACACCCAGTAAATGTACCCAGGCTCAAACACACCACACAGTGATGTAATTATTTATAGTCTTTACTGTATACTTTTGCCATTCATCAATTCATACACATTCATACTATGCTTATATATGTATATATATATATATATACCGTCAGGGGCAATTTGACACTCACCTGTGGAACACATGCTGCTCTGTGCTCTGTCCCAGCCTGGATGAACCGTCCCCGAAGCTCCAGTGGAAGGTGAGGTCGGTGCCCACGTTGACCCGGCAGCTCAGCGTTACCGTCTGATTCTGCAGCACCGAGGCCTGGTGGACGAGCCTGTTGAGCTTCACCACTCTCTGGATCACCAGAGGGAGCACATCAGAGGGGACGGACGACTGACCAGCAGACATCACCACAAACACATCAAACCTGCAATAAAGAGAGATTTGAATTGTGAGTATTTTTATTCATGTGCACAAGCTCTTAAACTGATAGCTAAGACACTCCTTATGTGGAAAATGATTTCAGTTAAAGGAAACACCACATTTAAAATAAATGACACATCAAAAATACATAAAATTATTTTTACTGTATCCCAGTATTACAATTCAAAAGGCACCTCTCGAAATGTTCTCTGTGCATCGTACCTGCCAGGTTTGTTGTATCTTTTGGTGACGGCTCTTGAGCTGGTTCTGACTGATATGGAGTCTCCAAAGTGCCACATGAACTCCACAGGCTCTGATGCATCAGCCACAGCCAGGAAGGTTATGTCTGTGTTTGTGGGATAAGCTGGCTTTGCTGCATAAATCCGCACTGCTAGAACGAAACCGACACCACATGGTCAACATGCAAATGGTTGGAATAAAAATTATTGCACAAACATCAACTCTTATGAAGGTGATGTCTCATAATAAATTAGAATGGCACTCAGTAGAGTCCCCCCATGAAACAACATTTAAATTATTTTCTAAGAAATCAAGGACAATGTTGAAAATCAACCGATCTCACAATGTTAAAGAAAGTGAAAAAAAATCCTGGTTCCTCCCCCTGATCCAGATCCACAGCTAACTTTACTACTTCCCTGACTAATCCTGCATCCTTCCACTAAATTCATGGTGATCGGGTACTTTTTGTGTAATCCTACAAACTAAGAAACGAACAAAGCGTAGATGAAAACAACTTCCTTGGCCGAGGGAACCAATCACAAGACATTTTATGAACATTTATCATCATCTACCTGAGCATTTTGTCGTTTTCTTTGACAAGGGTTGAAAATGCAAAATGAAATAAGTCTCTTGACCAATCTTTAGATAAAGCATAAAGCCTAAATTAAATGTAATTTAATAACATTTTATGTTTACATTTAAAAGTTTAAA